AATACGCCGTAAAACGATTGCATGGATTCGATCAATCTCTTTGTTAAAACTCTGAATCCATACAGGGATTCCATATAATAAGTGAGAGACTACCGTAGCTTGGAAAATTCGAAGGGTGGCTGGAACAAACTGATTTCCTTGTCGGTAATAAAAATGGGTAACAGACGAAATACTATTTTTAGCCAATTGGTCCCGATGGAAAGACCACTTTAAATTATAGTGAAACCAAACACCCAAGTACCTAAAGGATCTGACTCGCTCAATTATCCTCCCATCTATTTTCCACAAGGTGCATTTCCACGCCTTGGAGAAAACTACAATTTTGGTTTTCCCATAATTAACTGTAAGAGAGTTCTGTCTACAATAGGAGAAAAACATTGTTAGGACCTGTTTGAGGCCTATTCTGGTGGTCGAAAGAACCACAGCATCATCTGCATACAGTAAGATGGGTATAGAGAGAGAGAGTTCAATTTGGGGGCATGTCCATCTATTGCTGCGAGATTTGTGGGAAGGTCAGATAGGAAAAGATTAAATAAGGCTGGAGCTAAAACACATCCCTGCTTAATGCCCTTTGAAACAGGGATTTTATGGGTTAAAAAACCCTTCTTACCATACCTAATTTCGCAAGTATTCGATTGATGTAATTTACATATTAGGAAGAGTAGTTGTTGGTCTATAGTCATCCTACCTAATTTATCCCATAAGATTTGCCTATTGACAGAGTCAAAGGCCTTTTGAAGATCGATAAAGGCAGCATAGCGTTTACCTCTAGGGAAGCGGATATATTTCTCCGCTAAATAAGATAGTACTGTACAGTGATCAAGAGTAGAGTGATTGGTTACAAAACCAATCTGCTCTCTTCCAGGGAGATTACAAGATTTCATCCATTTTAGCAGTTGTGAGAGAAGGTGTTTAGCATAGAGTTTCCCCAGGGTTGACAGTAGGCTAATAGGTCTATAGTTCTCTGTGTTGTTAGTATTACTTTTTTTAAAAATTGGGACAATTATGGACAGCCAAGTATCTGAAAAAACTCCAAATTTATCAATAAGCATGAATAAGTGGGCAAGAACTTGTGTCCACCGATCAATATCACTCTTAAAAAGTTCAATAGATAGGCTGTCAGGTCCTGGGGCTTTGCCAGATTTAAAAGAGTTAATAAGATCAAAAATTTCATCATAGAAGACAGGTGGCCAATCTGGCAGATCAGCAGGCATTAGTCCATTATTTCCTGGGTCTAGACAGGATGGATCATTAAAGAGGTCTGAGTAATAAGTTGTCCAATTTTGTGCAGTAATTTTAGGGGATATACATGGCCCAAATAAAATTTTTGAGCCAGAGACCAATGCCCAGAAGGTTTTATGGTAACTACACTTGATTGCTCTATGTAGTTGAGACCATTTCTCCATGGCAATAAGGTAACTTATTTATTGTCTTATATGCCAATAAAGGTGTTGTATTGTATTGCTATTCTTTAAGGTGCTACTAGACTCGAATCTTGCTCTTCTGCAGATCAGATGAACACAGCTACCATAGCCAGGAAATTCACCAAGGGGGCTTTGTCAGTATATAAGCTTCAGCAATAGATGTTCCTGATCTAACTGACAGTTGTCAGGTGATGCAATACCAGACTTAACCAGTTTGAACATGTCTGGGCAAAGACAGAGGCACAATGACTCAGCACTGTGCTGATTGGATGTCATAAGTATATATGTAGAATGTACCTTTGTACAGTGTTCTCTCCTGTAATACATGGATGCTGGCGAAGCACTCTGTCCAAGAGCTGTATATATTGTAAATAAACTTCCTGTAAATAGTTACTAGGAGCTGCGTAGCTCTTTTTCTACGAAATGACCCCTGAGCGCAATGCTGATTGGATGTCATAAGTATATATGTAGAATGTACCTTTGTACAGTGTTCTCTCCTGTATGTATGGATGCTGGCGAAGCACTCTGTCCGAGAGCTGTATATATTGTAAATAAACTTCCTGTAAATAGTTACCACTGGACTGTGTTATGTGGTTTGCTATTGGGAGTTGCTGGTGAGTGGAACTCTGCTGGAGTCTGCTTAAGTTCTAAGTTGCCAGTTCACACTACTGAATACGCGCTGCGCGACAGGCTTTGGACTTTGGGGGGGCTGTCATGCCCCCATTAGAGAATGGCTCACCCAGGTACCTCACCCCATCTGTGCCAGCCAGCGAGTCAGGCTGTCAGCTCTCCAAGAGACAGCCCATCTCGCTGGCTAGTGAAGACTAGGGGGCATGGGGGGAAAGGTTGTGCCATGGTGGGGCTCCACCCTAATCATGGGGAGTGCTCAGCCCCTGAAGCCCCATCGCTGCCTACGGCCCTGATGTCTACCCACCTGAAACTAGTTTAAATCAGTTATCATTTGCCAAATTGTTCACAACCACATCTATAAAACTAACAGTGCAATCTTAAGCATATTTACGCCTTCCTAAGAACATTTTTAAGTCAGTGGAATTAGAAGGGTATAATCAGGGGTCATTTGGGGGGGACGCGGGGGGACGCCATCCCCCCGGGTGAGGTGCGGGAGGGCGGGGCCTGGAGCTCCCTGCTGGTGCCCGCTGGAGGTCGCCGCCGGGTGTGGGGAGGACACACTTCCGGTGATGTCAGGGGGTGTGGCATATGCTAATGAGTTATGCTAATGAGTCCCCCTAGCTCTTTTTCTACGAAATGACCCCTGGGTATAATGCTATTTAGGATTGTGCTATAAGAAGCCAACATGAGCATACATATTTGACTGTCAAAATAATCATGATCCAGTGGTTCTCAAACATTCTGAAGTGACGCTATGCCATTTTAGGACCTTCTTCTAAATTTACTTGACTATTTTATGGGACTCAGGGTGGCTAACAACATAGCGATAACAATAATAATAAAACCACAGTTTCAATGAAATCCATTTAAAAACTAAGCACACAACAAACGAATGCTTTTGGCACAAAAAATCAGCAGCACTGATAGTAGAGTCTGCTAAAATTACAGTAGTGGAATGCCTGGTGGAATAACTGTTGTATATGCCCTGCAGATGTGTGCAAGCCAAGGTGAATTAGTCAACAGCCTAGCAGCCATATTCTGAACAACCTGAAGTTTCCAAAGCACCTTCAAGGGTAGCCCTGCATATAGCCAACTGCAGTAATCTAGTAAGGAGGCAACTGCCACATGAATCACTGTGGTGAAGTCAGAGCTGGACAAGTAACAGGATAGCTGACGGGCCTGGCAGAAGTAGAAGAAAGCCTGTTTTGCCACTAAGGACCCACTTGCAAAACAACTTCAAACGACTTTACACTTCTACAATATGAAATGTAGGAATTTCACATCTGTTAACAATGAACACATGCAGAGCTTATTTTTCATGTTTTGTATATGTGTATGGCATTATTGAGCCACAGGCTGTATTTCCTGACTACTTCAAGTATTACGCAAAGGATAACCCAGATTTGCCATTGCCTCTCCTCTCCTAGTTAATCCTATTCCACCTTTCCCTCCTAGTCTTGAGACTCACTTTTATGAGAATCAAAAACCCCTTTGGGGTCCCAACCCACAATCTGAGAACCAATGATCTAATCTAACTTTTTAAAAGATGTTGCTGCCACCCTGATACATCTGGTTTTTCATTTCTTTACAAATTATACACCTCCTCTAAGAGTTTCTATTTATCTCGCCATGGGAAGGCACCAGAAATAACTAGTTCCAGTTAAAATGTCCAGCCCATTTTAACAGGGTATTTTATGTCAGTCAAGGAAGCGATTATATTTTGTATCACTATATTTAAGATATGAAGTAGTAGCAGGAAACTGCTCTACATTTCTAGAAAGAGCTGCTACAATTGAAACAGAACTGAGGAATCAAGGAAGTTTAAATGGAAATGCAATAAAAGCAAGATTATTTAATCAGTTCAGTCTGTTACAGCATAGATATCAATACCTAGTCAAATGTTAATGAAATTTAAAATAACAAATGCAGAATCCACAAGGAATTATTCCTTGGCAGCCCCCGTATCCTTTCCCTTTTCCTGCTTCCTTCTCATCTACCAACCAATCTGTCTTTTATCTGCCCGACATCTTCAGGTACATTTATTATTTATTTACTTTATTTCTACCCCGTCATTCTCCCCAATGGAGGCCCAAAGCTGGGAGTGTGTGACTGCTTCAAGGTCACCCAGTTAGCTTACATGGCAGAGTCGGGATTCAAACCTGGGCTTCCCAGAGCCTAGTATGAAACTCTAACCACTATACCTAGGGTTGCCAAGTCTCACCTTGTTCCGCAGCGAGGGACTCCCGGGTCGATCCCGGCGCGCGCCATAGAGTTTTCCCTCGGATGACTGTGGCCCCGCCCCCAGCGTGCCCGGCATGGTCGCGTCACTTCCTGGTGACGTGCACGTCGGGGTGGAGTTCCCCCGGGGCCCAATGCGGCGGGGAACGGGCCTCTGGGGCAGGGTTTCCCCCCCCCCCAGGGGGACTTGGCAAGCCTAACTATACCATAATGGCTTTTGTATGGTGGCTGCTGTTGAATAGTAGCAAGCAGCCTGGCCTGTGGTTGCTGACAGGCCTGGCACCAATGAATCTTCTTTCAAAGGCCAAAACAGGGTCATGCCCTCTCCCTTTTCTTGACATAACCCAAGGCTTTAACTGGCAATATGGCTGTGGTTACCTAGAAATGGTTGTAGATGACATTTATTTCTTGAAGTGTCAGGCACAACCTCTATCGTTTGGGTTTGTTTTTTAACCTCCAGTGTATTTATATTTACGTTTCATATTTTTCTGCAAACCTGGGGTGTTTTTCAGGTTTGCAGAAAGATTTGTACAGTTTGTTCATGGATCCAGTCTCCAGATTTGAATATCCACAAATCTGTCCACTTATGAGAATTAGATCTATTGATACCCATCACTATGGAATATACAAACAACAAGAGTATGATTACCAGTTTATGTGGTATACTGCATTAAGCCCAGCAGTTATAAACAGCAGTAATAGATTCACCTTTTGCGAGCTCTTGCCTAAGCTTCAAAACAGCACCAAGGTCACAGTCAGCAGTAACATATGCATGAGGTATAGTAGTTTTCGATTCTGTTACTCTCTTAGCAATAACTCTTCTAACGTTGCTAGTAGGGACTTCAGTGAATGCACCCTGAAACAATAACATTTTACATACTGAATAACTAAGGAAGCATAAGCTAACTTTTGTTCTGAAATAAATTAAATGGAAATAATGCTTGGTGCATACACTTCAGACTGTTATTGGTGATGAAAGATGCACTGATCTTCCCTACCTTCTCATTTTAAATGTGTAGTCTGCTGTTCAGACTCCATACACATTTGGTTTTTTACTTTGCACTAATAGTACAAATAAATGGGCAATGGGCAGTGGGCAGTGCAAAACCCTGTGCAGCTCCAGATTGCTGGCAGGGCTTCCTTTGTCAATGAGCGGCTGGTCATTCACACAGCTTAGAGGGAACACTGTTGTTGAGTATTAAATACAAGGATCAATTACACAAACACTGAACTGCTTTCTAGCATAGAAAACAATCTTTGTGACATAAGAGCATTTGCTCCGTGGCAACGGAATGAGTTGAGGTCCTAAGAAAAATCAGTGGGAACAAAGGTGATCATCATTTTGGCACTTTTGACATCAAACTGAGTTTTATTTCAACATTCCTCCCTCCAGATTTTGTTATACATCTAAAATAATTGCATCTTCTAACACTGAGTCTAATGACTGCTTTAGAAACCATAAGGCAAAAATTACTGAAAACACAGCCATAATTTCTCTGCAGTTTTCCGATGGAACACTTAAATTCATATTCACATGTTTTACACATATGTAAATACAAGTCAAATAAAGTAATGATGTCATAGTTATTACCATGGAAGCACGTTGTCCTGGCATAGAAACTGGAGGAATGGCAGGACGAGGCATGCTTGCTAATGGCAGGGCTGAAGGCACTCCAGTTGGCTGTGTAGGGAGTGATGAAACCACCGGTCTTGCTTCAATGGATTTCCCCTTCTGTTTTTGATAAAGAAGCTTGAGAGCATCCCTGTCAGTCAAAAGGGCAATCACATTGTGTTAAAAGGGAGCAACAATTTAAGAGAAACTGACTACCCCATAAAAAATTATTTTTAAAAAACCCATTGCCCCAAAATTGAAATTCTTATGGATTCTCAACTACTAAGCAGCTTATGTGTATGTTCTGGGGACGACAATGAAAAGATACCACATCAGGGAAAACAGTGTAGGTTTTTCAAATATTTCCTTTGAATTTGCTGCCAACATTCCATAGCCCTATTCTGGTATGGAGGAAATGGAAAGGGGTATTGTATCCAGGGATTTCCCTATTGACCCCCATTTTGTATCACCCAAAATTTGTTTCAGTTAAAAAATAAGGTTCATGGTGTAGAGACTCTTAATCCAATCAAAAGATAATTTAAAGATAAGTTGGAATACTTTCATAATTTATTTAATGGAATTTCTGGAATATAGCTCTATTTAAAGTGTTCTTTAATTAGATGGAGACCCTTATTTGAAAGTTTGATCAAGGTATTGAATATTATCATTCAGAAATGGATTTAATAAATGTATGTTAAATTATAGCCAAATTGGATGGAAGCTCCCCCCTCCCTCTTCTTTTTCCTTTCTCTCTCTCGTTGTGTTTGGTTCTTATATGTTCATGTATTGTGGTTGGTATCAATTATATAATACTAGGAGTAAGGCCCATTGTGGGAAGAAATACAACAAACTCTAGAAGGAAGCTGAAGGTGAGTGTCCCGGCTGTGACTGGTGGGGCAGCAGAGGGAAGGGGGAAATAGAGGGAGGCAAGCCATGTTTATTTCCTTCTGCTTAGCTATAAGGCAGGGCTGTCTCAAGTAATTTTGCTGCCCCAAGTGGGTAGTATGGGAGGACAGCCTCATGGTAACAGGTATGGCTCCCTCCACCCCTATGTTGATTTGGGGTTATGCAGTGGCAGCTAACATAGAAAAGAACCTCCTCCTATCCCATAGCCAGTTACAGGGTTGACAACTCTGTGTTGGGAAATACCTGTAGATTTGAGGGGTAGAGCCTTGGGAGGGCAGGGTTTGGGGTGCGGAGGGACCTCAGCAGGATATAATTCCATAGAGTCCATTGCCCAAAGCAGCCATTTTCTCCAGGAGAACTGATCTTGGAGATATCCAGGTGCTACCTGGAGGCTGGCAATACTAAAGGGAGGGCCAGACCTGTAGATTTGAGGGATAGAGCCTGAGCAGGGCAGGGTTTGGGGTACAGAGGGACTTCAGTGGGGTATAATGCCATAGAGTCCACTGCCCAAAGCAACCATTGTAATAGCTGGGATATTTTCTGTAGGGGAAATTATGTGCTGTGGCTGGGGAACACAGTGATTTCTGGGAGATCTCCAGGCCCCACAGGCAGATTGTCAACTCCAGTGACTAAGGGAAGATGGGATATGTATTTTGACAACTCCAGTGACTGTTTAAGGAAAGATTGAGATACGTATTTTACCTCAGGACACTCCCTGGATGACTCCCAACAGCAACAGCAAACTGTTTAGAATGTTAGAGGCAAAAGCCAATCAGGCTGCATATGCAAATGACCTCTGTGTTCTGACTGACTATTGGGCGGATAGGGACAGCAAACTGTTTAGAATATTGGAAGCAAGACTCAGGCAACGCAGCCAGTGGATAGGGACAGCTTCTGAGTAACAGATCAGGGAGCCAACTGATTTGGGAGCGTGAGGAATGTTCAAGAGAATCCATGCCCAAAACAGAATTATTATAAATAGAGATTATGGTATTATCTATATATTGGATATGAGGTTATCAGATGATTTTATGCTGTTTTACTTTTTGTTTGGTGTTCATTGTTGTGTGTACAAACATAATAAAAATATATATTAAAAAAGAGCCTTTGTGCCTCACAATTATACTACTCTGTCTATTGCAAAACTTCTTTCTGTGTGGCCCCTCAAAAGGAGCTTCTGCAGTATAGAAGAAAGCCTCTCCTATTCCCTATCCAGCCCCCCCCCCCAACAGTGCAGGATTGGTAGGCCTTCCAACTCTGAACATCACCCACTAAATTAAGGGCTATGCATTTGCACTGCACTCATGCTTCCTAGTTTGTGACTATAAGACCAGATTTAGGGTTACATTTTCCTGGCAGATAAGCAAGAAATCCTTTCCTCACTGGAACTGGCTCTGAGGTTTTGGCCAGCATTTCCCAGAGCTCTGAGAGAATATTTTATTTCAGTGGAATTTAGATGATATCACAATGTAAACCAGAGCAATCTTGAGGCCCATGGTTAATATCTTTTCCGTAGGTATATGGGAAAAGGGAAGACTTCCTTTAGGGAATAATGACAGTGATTTCAGAATGGCTCTTTGTGACATGAAATGGATGTAGGGCTGCAATTAGTTTCTACAGAGGAACAAGCCAAGAGCCAGCCACAGAAGCTCACCCTTGCCTTTCACTAGATTAAATTTCCACCTCAACTGTGGTTGAGGGATACATTATAAGGTATAAGGATAACCTTACTCATGGTTAATGTTAACCAAGGTTCCTGTTTAAACAAGGCTTTAACTCTTGGCAGACACCTTAACTATGGAGAGAGTGGGTAGAAGAAGGGTAGAAGTCATCTGTATGACTTTGTTTTGTCCTATTCAGTCTCTTCCTACTTGAATGTATAGAAGGCATTTACTATCAAAAGGGTTGTGATAGCCACTAGCGTAGAGAGTGGAGAGCCAGTTTGGTGTAGTGGTTAAGTGTGCGGACTCCAATCTGGGAGAACCGGGTTTGATTCCCCACTCCTCCACTCGCACCTGCTGATGTGACCTTGGGTCAGTCACAAGCGCTGGCACAGCTGTCCTTGAAAAAGAGCAGTTTGTGTCAGAGTTCTCTCAGCCCCACCGACCTCACAGGGTGTCTGTTGTGGGGAGGGGAAGGGAAAGGAGTTTGTAAGCCGCTCTGAGACTCCAAGTGCAGGGCGGAGTATAAATCCAATCTCTTCTTCTTCTTCTTTAAAAGGGAATTAGACATATTCATGAAAGTTAAGTCTAGCAATAGTTATTAACCATGGCAAATAAATGGAACCTTTATGTTCCAAGATAGTGTACTACAAACACCAAATGCCAGAGACAATCCAAAGCAGGGGGCTGTTCCCTCATGCCCTGCTTATAAGGAGAAGAGTTGGATTTATATCCCAACCTTTACTCGGAGTCTCAGAGCGGTTTACAATCTCCTGTTCTTCCTCTCCCCAGAACAGACACCCTGTGAGGTAGGTGGAGCTGAGAGAGCTCTGAGAGAACTGCTCTTAAGAGAACAGCTCTGAGAGAACTGTGACTGACCCAAGGTCATCCAGCTGGCTGCATGTGGAGGAGTAGGGAATCAAACTGCTCTTAACCACTACACCAAACTGGCTTTTCAGAGGCACCTAACTGAGGTCAGAATCAGCCCTCACAACAAACCTCTGTCCATAAGAGGCATAAGCAACCTTGTTTTCATGCTCCCCACTTTCCCCTCCCCTCGCAAACAGAATGCAACTAAAGACTTGCTGGGTTGAGAAGCCTTAAATCAAGCTCTAGCTTGCTATCCCAAATTTGCCATGAATTTGGATTGTGAGGAGAAACACTGCAATTTACCCAAAGGCAAAGCTTCAAAGCTTCCTGAATCAGAAAGCCCATCATATTTCATGCACTAGTAGAGTAGAGCCTTTGAGAATAACAATAACTCTGTATCTGTGCATGTTACAGACAAAAGTCTGTTGAACATGCCTGAATGCAGCCAGAGAATTGAACAGGATGGACCTCAATCTGATCCAGCAAGAAAGGCTATTTGCAATATTGTCTCCTTATTTTGTTCTGTAACACACTAGTTTTAAACGCCATTCATAATCCAAGACAAGAACAAACAGAACTTGTGAATGTACACCTATATCAAATAGAAAGCAAAACACACACAAGAAATTGTAAGTGTGAACAATTGCTATTTTAAATAATGAAGTCATAAAATTATACAGTCCTCAATTCCTTAATTTAAAAAGCCATAACAATCAGATACAAAAAAGATTTACAAATAACAGTTTGAAATTTTATAATGCTTGCCACATTAGTAATGTTTCTTTCAGCCACATATTATTTAATGGTATGAAAACCTACTTCAACAACAGCATTATAAACTGTTAGCAACTTTTTAATATTGTTATTGGCTTCAGTGCCTTCCAGATTATTAACATATTCATAGCTGTATATAAAATCTTAATAACAGTAATAAATAATAACAGGGTTAAACAGGATGTGCCATTTGTCAGCCCTGAAGATGCTTAAATGTACTGAAAATTACATATACAGCACATATATATCTTCTTTTAGATACCACAGTCTGCCATAAAATTTAATTGCTTCCCCTCTGACTCGCATGGGTAATATATGGCTGCTGGTTATGAATGAATTTATTTGTGACATCCAGTGCTATAGTTAAAAATTATGGAAGCAGACCTGGACCATTAAAGTCAATAGGGGTTTTGCCACAGGTCTCAATGAACTATGGACCTTAGTCTTAAACAACAAATTAGATATGCCACACAAACTTATTTTGGCAATTTGGAAATTTGCAAAGCACTGCTAAAACTGAGGATAAAAAAAATATTGTTTGTTTCCACAGTACACATCATCAGATACCCTGGAAGTATGTCACATACAGTTCTCCCCCAGCCCCAAGATGTATGTTCCAGTTCTGCTTCAGATTCAGTGTGTTTGTAGGGAATACTTTATTTAAGATCTTCTGTGCCATTTAACAGGAGAGAAAGTGCATTTCCAGACAACAGTGGTAACAACTGGACAAAACAATATCCTCAATCAAGATAAAACCTAGTATCACTAAACAGGTCCACTCTAGCAGAGACGTGGTCATTATTTTAGCAAATGAATACATGTCATTCACATTTAGATCCATTTCCAACACATAACAAGAAGTATTGATGATTAAGATACAATAGTCAGGGATTCCATTTCACTGAAAATTGTGTCTTACTGCCACCTGCAGTTTCCAAAA